CCCCTGCTCTTACTCATCCTAGTCTTCCTACACTAACAGTTGAGCAAGTGATGGCTGCTCAAACTGATATTGAGGCCAACCACTACACGTTGAAGTCGTGTATGGAGACAGTGGCCGCGGTCACTAACCTGTCTCACCGTCTACAAAACAAGTCGTGTGAGGTACATCGGGTTAACGCCCAACTCACTTTGCTTCAACATATGTATAGGGATGCGCGAGCGGAGATTTGCGCACTGAAGGCAGAGAACAAGGAATTGAAACGGAAGGCTACCTCCATGGAGAATAAAGAGGTAAAACGACAGGCCACTTGTATGGCTCAGTTTGCAGCACCGTCGTATTTTGCCTTTGATGGTCGGCGAAGAGTTAATTCTCTTGGTGAAAACACTGAGGCAGGGCCTTCGAAGGTCTCCCAGAGCGAAATTGAGATGAAGAAAACGACGGGAGAGTCAAGCAAATGAGGTCGGTGTATGGCCGTCTGCCGGAGGAGAAAGAAGAACAAGATCCCGCACGTATCATATCTTCTCGTTCCCATATTGACTCTTCCGTCCCACGATGTCTCCAAATTTTGAGTGCGTGAACTATAGCTGCTGACTCCAAGTCATGGATGAGACGATTCTTCGCATGGTTCTTTAATTGCCTTGATCCATATGCCACCACCTTGCCATTCTGCATCAATACGCACCCCAGACCTTCTTTGGAAACATCACAATACACGTTGTACCCAACGTCACGTTCTGGCACTATGAGAATAGGGGCACTCGTCAATCTTTTCTTAAGTTCTTGGAATGAATTTTCACAAAACTCGTTCCATTCAAACTTTACCCTCTTTTGAGTCAAACGTGTCATTGGTTTGGCCAATTTTGAAAAGTCTTGAATGAATCTTCGATAGTAACCGGCCAATCCTAAGAAATTACGAATCTCAAATGTGTCCTTAGGTTGCTTCTATTCTGTCACTGTTTCTACTTTAGTTAGGTCTACTGATATTCCCTTGTCAGATACCACGTGACCCAAAAGCTTTACTTCCTCCATCCAGAATTCACATTTACTAGCCCTATCTTAAAGTTTGAAGTACTATTCTCAAATGTTGTTCATGGTCTCCTTCAGAATCGGAATACACCATAATATTATCTATGAAAACTACCACACATTGATCTATGTAAGGCGTGAATATGTTGTTCATTAAGCTCATGAACACGCCTGGTGCATAGGTTAGATCGAATGGCATCACTACTAGTTCATAGCGGCCGTAACGCATTCGAAACGCAGTCTTAAGAATATCTTCCTCCCGAACACGCAAAAAAAAGAAAGGAAACACTCAAAATGCATGGATGTGGGGATACGAGGTTTTGAACCCCTGTCCTCAGGCTTAGTCTCTTGCTCTTTCAACCACTAAGCCACGCCACTCCTGTGACAAAATATTCAAACAAATATATATAGGTATACGAGACACATATATATATATATATATATAAACAAACC